AAGAATGAAATGCCAGGTAAATGCAGAGCGAGTGTTAGGAAAGGAGGGATGGAAACTGAAGTTTATGCATATCACAGCGAAGTCTGACATAGCTTATTGTGTTGGGGACTCAGGAGACAGCAACAGGCTGAAATTGGGTTCTGGGACAGGTGTGCACTGGGGAGGCTGCTAACCTCTGCTCGCTCAAGACCCATCCCACTACAAAACTCTAATGGAACCAACCAGCCTAGGAGCTAAACTCAGTCAGGCTTGATAAAGGTTTAGATTAGGCTGCATGCTGTACCATATTCATTTAGGCAGGAAAGCGTTAGACTGTTATCTTCAAAAGCTTTTTCCCCTCTCTAAACAAGAGGGTTTTTCTAGCTAATGATTCAGCGAAACAGAAAATCTCATCGTTCACTAGGCCTAGTTCTCCAGGTTTCTCTTCAACTGTGATTTTTGTAGCTTGGTAATAAGCCTTTGAGAGTTTTCCAGTGACCAACACTGCAGTTATCTAGGCAGCTCTGGGAATGGTGATACAGCACCATTTGCTGTTTTACAAGTGAAATCTGCATGGTGTCTGGGATTTGCTTTGAAAGAACGGAGGTGAGGGTGAGGTTTATATAAAATAAAATTGGTCTTGACTTGATCATTGTTGAAGTGGATGATGGATATATAGGGTTCACTATACTCTTCTCCACTTGCGTGTACTGGAGATTTTCTGAACTAAAAAGTTAAAAGGCATGTTTGTCAAAGGTGTGATTATACCCAACAAAATTCACATTGTGATTGCCAAGTATGAGTTATCAAAAGAAAGAAGCAAAACTATGACCTATAGACCCTAGTCCACACCATTTGGCGATTTATCTATTTATTTATTTTTGAGATGGTCTTGCTATATAGCCCAGGCTGGCTTCACATTCAAGATCTTCTGCCTCAGCCTCCCCAAGTGCTGGGATTATAGGTGTACACTGCCATGCCCAGCTTATATCTACAACCTAAATTACTCAAGTTTTAAAATTACCTATGTAATGTAGGGGTGAGGGCATGCCTCAAGTGATAGAGTGCTTGCCTAGGAAGTGCAAGGCCCTGAGTTCAAATCCCAGTACCACCATAAATAAATAAATAAATAAACTATATCATTTTAGAAGCTGATATCTCCTTTAGCCTGATGCATGCACCTATTTTCACCTTCTTGCCCAGAATTCTTACTCACCCCTTCCTGAAGATGTGAGGAAGAGGCAGGTGAGGCGGCTTGTGGGTGAGCCCCAGGCTGAAGGTTCATCCATGGGTTACCTGAGCCCCTGCTACGTGCTTGTTCTGTGTTGGATGCCCCAGTGAACACGAGGTGCACCAGGCACTTGTCCTGATGGGCTTAAAAGCTGGTGGGGAAGACAAACTAATCACAACATCAAGCATCCTGAGGAGATATGGGTGCTCTAAACCTGACCTTATGTGTGTACATGCCCTGGAGGGAAAAGTATTAGGGTTGGTTTCCTGATAAAACTGATGTTTAAGGAAAGACCTGGGCTGGGAATGTAGCTCAGTGGTGTAGAATGCTAGCCTAGCACACACAAAGCCTGGGTTTATCCCTATCACCAAAAAAAAAAAAAAAACCCAACAACAAAAACTTGGAAAGCATAGAATTAACTAAAATAAATACGTAAGGATTTGAGCTTGGGATCGGGCTTGGGTACAGTAAAACAAAACTAATGTAGAGGGGCTGGCAGAGTGGCTCAAGTGGTAGAGTGCCTGCCTACCAACCATGAGGCCCTGAGTTCAAGTCCCATTGTCACCAACACAAAAACAAAAACAACTAACCTAGTTGTGGTGTGTTCAAAGAACTGAAAAGAACAATGATGAGGTTAGAAAGGCAAGCAGGGGCAAGGTGGGCAAGACAGGAAGAGGGCTTACACTAGGGTGTGGGGCTTTACCTGGAAAGCCCTTTATGGACTGAACACAGAACGACATGACTAGACTTGGGCTCCTGAAAGCCCTCACTGTGAAGCAGAGGTTGAGACAGTGGGATAGAGTGTGCTATTTTGTGAGCTAGCTGGGAAATGATGTGACTTGGGTGTGAGTGATGACAGTGGGATGGGGAAGAGTGGATGGTGTGCTTGGAAGAAACTGAGGCCATAAACTTGACATGATTTGATGTGAGGTGGGAGTAAGGAGAGGAGAGGAAGTATCAAGAATAATTCTCTAGATCTGGGCTCAGTAATTGATGGATGGGGAGGACATTTATAAGATAAAAATGACCTTTTAGTCTTTGATCCACAGAGCCATGGTACCTTGGAAATGACTTGATTTCTCCCTCTATAAAATGGGAATAACCAGTTGGACACTGGTGGCTCATGCCTGTAATCCTAACTATTTGGGAGGCTGAGATCGGGAGGATCATATTAAGCCAGGGCAAATAGTTCCTGAGACCGCATCTCCAAAATAATCATCACACCAAAATGTACTGGAGGTGTAGCTCACACTGTACAGCGCCTGCTTTGTAACTGCAAATCCCTGATTTCAAAACCCAAGTCTCTCTCTCTCTCTCACACACACACACACACACACGGGAATAACCACACTACCAATCTGAGAATTCTTTGGAGGCATGTTTATCCTTGTCATGGCTTAAACTCTGACCCCAAGCTGGGGCTCAATACACACCCAAGGATCCATACATGCTTTCTAAGCCCTGGCCACACTCCTTCCCAGATATTCTCCTCCTGTCCTGGGCACTTTTAACGGCTACTCCCTCCCCAGCCTGTCAGACTCTGCCTTCTCCAAATTCTGCCCCAATATCTTTTAAGATATCTATACACAACATGGAACTAGGTTCAAAACATTGCAAAGAACAAAACAGAGACCTGTTGCTTGCTGAGTGGAAACCAAGGTGCTTTTGAGCCAAAGGAGTCTATGAACCACTCACTTCTTTCTCTGGAGGAAACTCAGTCTTTACAACACAAGTTGCTGCTTTGTATCATGAAGACTTTTTTCCCTCAGGAAAGATGTGGTGGTTTGTCTGAATGTCAGCACACTGCATTTCAAGTCCATTGTTCCATGAAACATGCCAGCAGCTCCCTACAGGGCTGGCTCCTTTCATGGGCCATCCTGTTCAGGTGCCAGGAGATGGGGTGGGAGGTAAGGGACATAGGAAGATGGTATAGAAGAGAGGAAAGCTTTTAAATTAAACAGAGATGGGACTGGCAGAGTGGCAAAAGTGGTACAGCACCTGCCTAACAAGTGTGAGGCTTTAAGTTTGAACCCTAGTACTGCCAATAGATAGGTAACACAGAGATGATCTAAACCTTCTTAGTGCCTGAACAAAGGGACATCCCACCAGTCAATGTTTCAGTATTTTCTACGGCACTGGGTCAACAGTTATCAGGGACACTTCAGGGTCTATCACCGCAACTCAGAACCTTTTCAGAACTGGGCCAGTGTGGCCATGCTGATAGAAACCTGTACTCTCTAGGCACAGTGCTCTTAGGTTACTGAACGCTTGGACATTCAAGTTCAAAGGCAGCATTTATCCCAACAGGCCCTTGCCATCAGCCCTCTGAGTGAGGGCTTCTTTAGGACAAGTTTTTCTGGACGGTGAAAGATCCAAGATCCCTCCTGCACCTCCCATACTCCATTCTGGGCTGAAGCTGTGTCTCCCAAGGTTGGGAGGAACAAGCCAACCAGGGCACCACATGGTTCTGACCTCCTCACTTCATCCCTCCCACAGCTTGACGGGCAACACTGAAGGCCACACAGCACAGGCTTTTCAAAAAAAAAATTTTTTTTTATTGTCTTGGATGCAAATATAGTTTTAAAAATGCAGTGTAGTGTTGAATGTAGCTGGTGGAAACACGCGTCTTCACAGCAGAGCATCAGAGGGCTGTGCGCTGGGTGCCACAGGCCACAGGGGCCCTCTGTTGAAACCAACCCATCCCAGGTTTGGTGTTTTTAGACCCCAGGAATAGTCACCTTCTCAAAGGAGCCCCACTTAGTCACCAAAGCACACAACAGAAACAATTAGCCATGTACACAGTAACTGCAACTGAAGAAGAAAAGAACGTGCTGTTTCAGCCGTGGTGTTACAGAACAAGCAAACAAGCCTGCTTTCCTTTACAGGTGTGAAAATTCGACCCAACAAGGTGCTTGGGGGAGGGGGCACTGGGTTCCCATGGAGGGTCACAGCCTGGCTGAGGGACATAACCTCGTTGATCCGTCAGACCTTGTCACCTGTAGGATGTAAACTACAGAACTGTATAAAATTTGAGTTTCTCCTGCCCCTTTCCCCTCCATAATCTCAGCTCTTGAGATCTCTGTCAAGAACCCTGAGGAGAACTCTGAATTCTCCATGCCGGGGGCTGATTGTGGAGCCAAAATTTGACAGGGAAATGGATGTGAATTTTGCTAAGTAATTAGAAAGGAATTTTATGATATAAAATTCCATGAACACACACACAGAGGCTTGTGTATGTGTGGAAACACACACAAGTCAACATTCACTGTGAAAAGTTCCCTTTTCTTTCTCAAAGTCTGATTTTTGCAAGCCCTAATAAGCAGACAAGCAGTCTGTCCCGTGAGCAGGGAAGCCCTGGTCCTCAGAAGACAGCAGATGGCCTGGGCTTCACTACCTCTGAGGAGGCCCAGAGACAGGGGCTGTTTCCTGAGACTTTTCTCACATTCCTAGAGTCTGACCTCATGTGCCCCAAAGTGGCCCTCAGAACACAAAACCTAGCAAGCAGATCCCAGCTAATGTGCGAACTAAACAGAACAAGTACAAAACATGCTTAGAGTCTCCAAGCTCTTCCATTCCAACCTCACTGCCCCCTCTCCTCTTACAATTGTCCAGACATAGCTGGGTGCTGGTGGCTCACGCCTGTAATCCTAGCTACCCAGGAACTGGAGATCAGGAGGACTGCCGTTCAAAGCCAGCTGAGGCAAATAGTTCATGAGACCCTATCTCGAAAAACCCTTCACAAAAAAGGGCTGGTGGAGTGGCTCAAGGTGTGGGCCCTGAGTTCAAGCCCCAGTATAGGGAAAAAAAAAAAAAACCCAAAACCCACAACTGTCCAGGTGTGGTAAAAGTCCTCATAGGGACTGAGCCCAAAATCACATCCCTCTGCTGCACAGGTGTCCTTGGCGGCTGCCCATATGACAGCTCCCCCAAATATTTCTTTCCAAAGAGGGAGAGGTCCCATGTAGAGGGACAGAGAAAGTTGAGCCAGGTGAGCTCCAAGGGAAAGGAACTTTTGAGAGGGGTTAGGGGTGACAAGAGGGGATGCTCCAAGCCTGCCCAGGTTGGAGCCAGGGGGGAAAAGGACCTGAGCCTTGAGCGAAGCCAGGTAAGCCAGTGGGAGGCCAGGTCCCCTAGCACCCCATATACCCTTAGGTAGGGTGCTGGTCACAGGCAGGCCTGGTGCCACCTACCACTGCATTTGTTCACTATTCGGGCCGGGCAGCAGGGAGGTGAGGGAGCTTGCGTTGTCGGGGGCCTGGGTGCCATGTTCTCAAAGAATCCAAGTGGACATCACTCTTGCTAGAGCACAGAAACCTCCAGGACTAAGTTTCACAGAAGGGCAGGTCGGGTCCCAAGAGCATGTGTTCTGACTGACCACTGGCCCCTGCCCTGTGAGTGGCCACAGGCAATGCCTGGCTCCACTGCTCTCCAGCCTCCTCCACAAGGCCCAGTATGTCGTCAACACTAACTCCTGAGGCTGCACCACTTCCCTCATGCCATGGTCAGCCTGTGTGTAACCTGCAGTCAATTCAGAAAGCCCCTGGGCCACAGCCATCTTGCTCATGTCTCACTCATAGTGAGAGAACGAGCAACATGCAGAGCCCTGATGGCTCGGGCAGATTTCACAGAAACACTTAGAGATATACACGCAGCTGGCCTTTTGGTTTTATCTTCTCAGACTGATTTTCTTACTCTCCAAAGTGTCAGCATTTTAAAGTTTCTTGAATGGGAGTGGAGACAAGATGGGGGTACAGTTGAATGTAAACAAACCCCAGCCTCAGGGTCTGGTGACAGAGTGGCCGTAGCACTCCCAAATGCTGGCCTATGATTATAGGACAGAGGTCAAGGCCAGGCCACTCTGTCTGACCAGATTCATCAGGCAAGATTTCAAAACAAGAAAACTATCAGGGCAAGAAATAATCATGCCTGGAGCAGATACAGCATTGTGGCCTTACAGCCATGGCAATCGTGAGCACCAAGAAAAATGAACTGAAGTCAGTCTCAGAAACAAAAACACACATCTAGTAAAGTCAGCCACAACACGGACACACACACCTACCTCTTCCAGTCTCACACAACCTAACAACCTTAAATAGCTGAGGAAAAAAAGAAAAGAAAAGAAAAAAAAGTGAAATTAATTCAGCAAGAGGGCGAGGTAGGCCAAAGAAGCAAGAGACCAATTTTAAATCCCATGGAGTTTTGTTTTGTTTTTTAAAAAAGTTACTCCCAGGCAAAGAGGGGAGAAAGCTACTGATAAGGAGTCCTGGCCGGCCACAGCGTCACCTGTGTGTTACAAGGCACAGGAGTGGGAAGGGGCTGGGCTGGGGTCTCCACAAGGCCCTCACAGCAGCATTTGGTTTTTCCTTTTCCTTCTGACCCTTGTGGAACTCTTACCACAGTGGCCTTCACCTTCTGAAGGGAGACTTCATGTTTGTCCTGGGGGTAAGGAATATCCTGTTACATTTCCCAGTAGAAACTACCAGTACCAGTCCACATGCCTTATGTTCACCCCTCAACCTGTAAACATGTTTTTGGGGGTGGCTGAGGGGTGCCACCAAGCTGTTCTTATATATGGTAGAGGCAGACAAGGGAGCAGGCGCTGTTCAGGGGCCCACAGCAGAGATGGTGGCATGGTCAGTGTCCCCCACTTTCTCTGTCTTCCATCTATTAAGGCAGAGATGAGCTTTCTGCCCGAGCCCCAGTTCCCTGGCTCCAGTAACCAGTGGGAGCTCCCAAATGGATCAGAACTACAGGAGACACTGCAGGCAGGTGAGCAAAAAGGTGAGGTGAGGTGAGGTGAGGTGAGGCAGGTAGGCAGGGTCTAACAGAAGGCCTGCTGGCTGCTCTGACATCACAGCAGGACAGAAAAGCACATTCTTTCCAGGAGGAGATGCCCTTGGCTGGGCTCCCTGAGTGCTGGAGAGTGCCCTGCCACCTGTGGCTACTCACAGAGGCAGCAGAAAGAAGGGTAAAGACCAAGTGGGCTTCCCTCCATCCCTTCTCAGTCCCTTCCAACTGTGTCACCTTTGGAGGTCTGCTGCCTTCTAGTCATGCTTTCACTGGACTAAATCTGAGTGCAGACCCTCTCTGTCTGTCCTGGAGATGACTGGAGACACTCTGAGGGTTGACCCCTCAGCTTCCTGCCAGTCAGCCTTCAGTTTTTTCCTCCAATCACAAGAAGGGACAGAATGAGCATGGTGACATCTTTGGTCAGAGAACTGCCCTGGTTTGGAGCTCCTAAACTGAATGACATCAGACAAGATGACTGGGCTAACAGCAGCAGTGTGGAGTGTGACCCTCCAGATTCTGGAACCAAGGGTGAGACTGTCCATGGAGTGTGTCTGCCTCTTCCACAGTTGCAGCGTGATGGTGGGTGGAGAACGAGCAGAAGGACCTGTAAGGAGACACTGAGGAGGCCCTGGAATGCTGTGGCACCTGCAATGCCAGGTAGGACTAAAACATGCCAGAGGGTTTCCAAGTCACAAGAACAGCTATGCATTGTTTGTATATCCACTCTGCCCCATGGGCCTCCATACCCGCTGTTTTGCACTTGTGCTCCAGGGACTATGGAGAAGGCACACCCCTGCAGACCATGCAGGGGGAAGAAGGCAGCCCTCCATGCGAAAACCAGAATGGTACCCAGATCCATCCACAAGGGCCAAGTGTGGTCAAGGTCACAGGAAGAAGAGGCCTCTACCTGCCCCTCAGCAGGCCAGAGAGTGTGCAGTAGTCACCAAAGGAGTACAAGTGGACAAGCATGTGATGGGGACAAGTCTTTAAGTCTCAAGATGAACTCATCAGAGGGACCCTGGATGTTCCCACCTGCAGAAGCAGGTGTATTATCCCATATGCTCCACTCGCGGCCTGGGGCTGGTGGCAGTATAGGACCAGAACAGTCGATGTTTCCCTTTGTCTGGTGATTGAGGTCACTGAGTGAGAGGTCACAGCAAGGGGTTCCCAAGATGGGCTATTGCTGTGGGCAGGCCCAAAACCTGCTTCAGACCTGAGCGTGGAATCCTGATAGGCGCAGGGGCCTGCAGAGTGGAGGGCGGCCCAAGACTGTGCCTCAGGAAAGGCAGGGAGGGGTCTCCAGACATATCATGTGGTTACATGCCAGCTAAGCTTAGGAATCCTCAGATCTCTTGCCAATCCTGGTGACAGCCTCTGATGCCTGCTCTGGCAGCTTGGATGGGTCTGTCAGGATGGAGGTGGTGGTACTCAGCTGCCGGAGGGTGCTCAGCACCACTGCAACACAGAAGAGGCAGTCAGCTTGGGACACAGAGTCATGACATGCAGGACATGCTTCACATATGCAGCCCTATGTGTGAATCTCAGATCCAAAGGAGGCTGGCAGCAGAGCCCAACCACAGGGAGGAGCAATGGGGAGACCGCACGCTGAAACCAGCCTCACACTACACCTTTCCTTGTAACAGTTCTCCAAATCCTCACAGGAGCTGAAAGAAGCCTGAGGATTCTAAGTTGTTCCTGCTGACAGAGGGTTTGCTCCACTTATTTTAATATTAATCTTCTGTAACCTTAATATACGGGAATATCTTTGTTAGGTGTTATAAGAATTAAATAGGAAAATACCTGAAAGTAGCTAAAAAGGCCTGGCAAACAGTAGGTGCTCAGTAAATGTGAGCTGGCTTTGATGAGATTGGCAGATCAGACAGTAGGAGCTCAGAGCCCCACACAGGCCCCTACAGTAGCTTTTTTGGCTCAGGGTCCCTGCACAGCAACCTCCCCACATCGCTGGCACTACCAGTCTGACCTTGTGAGGTGAAGTCTGGATATTCATTCCTAAATGCTGCCTCAGTTAAGACCTTCCTCCCTCTAGGACCAGCACAAAGCTCCCCAGCATCCCACACTCACTTGGTCTGAGGATGGGCAGAGAGCAGTGTTGGTCCAGCCAGGACATTGCTGTCCTATGCAGCTCCTCCAGGCTGCTGGTGGACACCATTCCCTTGAAGGACTCAAACAGCGGCTTGATGATAATGCTGAACTGCAGGGCTTGGGTTAAGGACAAGGTGAGTGTGCAGGCCAGGAGACCACAGCCATGGGAAGGAAAATCCCAGTCATAGCATGGCTTGCCTGATTTGCCTCGAGAATGGCAAGTAACTGCCCCAAGCAGACCACAGAGAGAGGGAGGGAGAAATCAATGATCTTAATGCAGAATGTGACCTCCATGTGATTTAATGGTTTACCCTAACTCCCAATGGGCAGGAAGACACAAGGTTTTATGTAGGTTGGCAAGAATATGGGAGGCACACAGTTCTCAAAAGGAGAAGACTCTGGAGATGACACTTGTCCCTTGTGTTACACTTAGCTGTACCAGCTCCTCACCATCTCCTGCAGAGCCCCCAATCCATCTTCAGGATATACCACTGAGGGCACGCCATGCATTTCTCTAGGATTCTGATGCCCACAGTCTGTGCCTCAGCCTAATGATGAGGAATTTTTTTTTTTCTTTTTGGTAGGACTGGGGTTTGAATTCAGGGTTTCACACTTGCAAAGCAGGTGTTCTACCACTTGAGCCACACCTCCATTTTATTTTGCTCTGGCTATCTTTGAGGGGGGGTCTCATGAACTATCTGCACAGGCTAGTCTTGAACTGCGAATAGTCCCAGGCTCAGCCTGCTAGGATTATGTTGTGCACTACCAGCACTTGGCTGAGGAACGTGCCCTTCTAAAATAATTTTTCTTTTTTTTTTTTTTTTTTGTCATGGTACTAGGGTTTGAACGCAGGGCGCTCCACCACTCAGTAGTCCTATGAACCCTGTTTTCTGTTTGTCACCGCAAGTGGGCTCACCCTGCTTGTCATTGCAGGGACTGAGCTAGCTGCCAGGTAACGCTAGATGCCTTCTCATCTTGCTCTCTCTAGAGGTGGCTCCAGTATTATCTTTATTTCTGTATAGAGAGCAAAGCCTGCCACCAGCCTTCCTGGCCCTCCCTACAAAGCACCCTGTGTACCAATGGCAACATCACCCCTCTGGGGCCAGGCCAGAGCACTGTCTCCTCTGAGATAGAAACTAGCACTGCCTATCTTGAAACTGTGACATGATTGTCACAGTTTTTTTTTCTAAAGGATCTGAGTGTCACTGCTGTTTCAGTACATTGCTTGGGAGAAGGAAGAGCAAAGAAAACCCAAAGATACAATCCAGAACTTCCAATTCTGCAGGGTCCGGCTTTTCACATATTCATCAAACATGTCTCTCATGTGATCAGACTGGAGCCGGGTGACAGGGACTCCCGTAGCGGGGAGCAGCTGCTGGCAGGAGCTGAAACAACAAGAGGAATCAGGGGATGCTTTAGGAAAGCTGGTGGAAGAAGGGACGGGCCCTTGGGGCACCAGATGGGCAAGTATAGCCTGAGGCTAGCCCACAGTCAGGCATGAGGGAGGACAGTGGGAGGAGGAGAAGTGGCTAAATTGTTGTCACAGAAGCTCCACTGGCAACAAGGCCACAAAGGGCCCCACTGCCTCTGTGACGTGCAACCATATGGGGGGCTGAGTGCCAGCCCAAGCCTCACAGGATAGTGGCATTGAGGTCCTCAATCTCATCCCGAAGTCGACGGGCCTCCTCTTGCATCTGGCTCCGCTCCTGCTGCAGCTTGGTGATGTACTCCATGGTCTTCTGCAGTGTGATGGCGTGGCTGGTCTGTGGGGGATGGGTGGCTCAGAGGGGTGGCACACAGGGGAGGAACATTCTGCGCCCCGACCCTGACATTCTCAGGCAACTTACTGGCTTGGAATTATTGGAGATCAAGCTATTCAGGGTGTCAAAGCCCATCTTGATGTTGAAGCGCCTTTTCTGTTCTGCTGAGATGTGCTTCATCTGCCGGTTCTGCTGGGGAATCAATGGGTCACTGGGATGCTGGCCAAGCCTCGGGCACTTAACTTTGTATCATTTCACCGCCCAAACAATGCTGAGCAGCTAGAGGCAGATTAGGACGCTGGGCTCAAGATAGCAGAGGGCTACGCAACAGATGACAAAGACAGGAGGGGCAGATGGCCCACAGCGGAGTGGGGAGCGCTGTCTTCTCTAGCACTTTGCAGTCAGCTTCACCTCTTCTGTCCAACCCAAAGCTTCCTATGCACCTCCTTCCTTGCAGCTGGTGGTGACCAAGGCTACGGCCCCACCAGGCTATGAGGATTCAGTGTCAGTTCCTGGGCTCCGAGCCTACCTAGAGCTTCCTGACACCATTATTTCCATGGGCTAGTATGGTAGACAGGGCAACAGCTAGAACTAATTCAATCTCAGCTTTTTAGGGCTGCCCCAGCCTGGTTTGAGATCAACTGGATCTATAGCTCTCTATCCTAGATGAACACATAGGAACCAAGGCCAAAGAGAGCTGCATCATACCTTTAACGCAGACACATTTTTGGGGTCTACAGATTTCCCTGAGCAGTTGTTCTGGGGAGACTGAGGATTGGGGCTTTGTTCTGATGCACATGGAGAGGCCTGCCCTGAGTTTGGGCAGTCTCGACCTGCGAAAAACAAACTCCTCTCAGCACAGAGTCTAAGAAGGGGACCTGACAAATGAAGCCAAACCATGCTGCCCCATTCTGTCCTCCTCCCCGATCCCCGCAGTCCTCAGACTTGAAAGCCCATTTTTAACCTCCCATGGCTACCTGAGAAAAAACTGGATCCCAAATGTATATTCTCTTCAGCCTGGAGAAGGCCTCAAGAAGGCAAGTTAGAATGGGGTGGGAACATGGCCTAAGCTCTGCCTAGTCCCAAGTCTCAAGCAAGTGCCAGTGAGCAATTAGAGGGAGGCAGGACACTGACGCAGTCCCTTAAAACCCTCAGGTAACCAAGGAGCTCTGCAGGCTTTGTAAGGCTCTAGGTCTTACCCTATATGTTCTGCACACTAGGATCTATTTAATTTTTGTTCTTTAAATTCATTCTGCATATATGCTTTCATGTACTTTTATCTAACCCACTCCCTTAAAATGCTAAACTAAAAAAACCGCTACCATCCTCTGACCCATACGGAACATGATAAAGCAGCACAGTGACTGCCACAGGCCCGTTTCAGTCACTGGTGTTTCCTTGGGAGACATTTCCTAGGTTCCTTTTAAGCCCTCCGGGTCTGTCCTACTTACTGTAATAAATGCCTCAAACTCTTTACGTTCTATTGGATAATTTTCTCCCAAAATACACAGCATAACTCTAAACTCCATGCTTTGCAATTCTGTTGAAACACGATGTTCCGTTCCCTAGATTATTTTTTGGAATAATCTGATTCATGACTCTCCTGAGTCTGTGTCTTTTCACACTGAAGAGTCTCTATTCCCCAAAACCCGCTCTTGGATGAGTCCAATCCTTCTGTTACAGACCCTGCCTCATTTGGGTCTTCCAAGATAGGAGGGAGATGACTGCATACAGAGTTCTAGGCACAGCTACGCAGTGGGTTTAATTAAAGGGGGCTCAGGGCAAGTGCTGGTGGCTCACACCTATAATCTTAGCTACTTGGGAGGCAGAGGTTGGGAAGATATAGGCTCAATGCCAGTCTGGGCAAATAGTTTGAAAGACCCCCCATCTCCAAAATAACCAGAGCAAAATGGACTGGAGGTGTGGCTCAAGCTGAAGAGTGCCTGCTTTCCAAGTGTGAATACCTAAGTTCAAACCCTGGTACCACCAAAAAAAAGGAAAAAAAGAAGAGGGTGCTCAGGTTTAGCTCAGTGGCAGAACACTTGCCTGCAATGCACAAGGTGTTTTAGTTTCCCTTCCTAGTGTGGCATCAGAAGGAAGGAACCCAGTTCTACCTCTGGCCCACTACCAATTGATCCCTGACCTGCTGGCTCCACAGATGTCACTGGCAAAACCAGAACTACCCCAACTGTCTCCCCAGTGTAAGGCCTACAACACAGAAGTGACCACAGGTTTGCAGTGCTTTGGAAACCATGAGGGATGACCAAATTGATCCGAGACAAACCTACCAGCTTTGTGGCTACAGCCACCCCAGGCTAAAGTGTCCTAGACACTGTTGACAAGGACTCCTTGGTCTCTTTTCTGGATAGAAACTCACAGGTCTGAGCCAGGCATAGTGAACAGCTCTAAGTGTTATTATGTTAGCTGCCCACACTGCAAAACACCTGCTACCTCCTGTTCCACTGGCACCACTACAGTCATCTTGCCATCCAGCAAGCATGTCCCCAGCCTGTGCAATCAGCAGGCTGCTGGTACTACAGGCCCTGTCTCCATCTGCGGGGAGCCAAGGCGTGGACTCCTCAACCTAGGGCAGGCTACTCCCTTCCCCCATGAAGTCTCAACTCTGCACATTGAGTGAATACTCACTGGACCCTGCGGGAGGGACCTGGGGACTGCCTCCATGTAGCGGGACCTGCTCACCCTTCACCAGGGAATCTTGTACTGTGCTTGGAGAGAAGAGCCGGGAGACAGGGGTGGGCTGGCTGCTAGTGCTGTGACTGAGGTCTGTCACCAGGATGCTGCTGTGGAACTCTGTGACACCAGGACCCTATGGTGACATGGCAGAGAAAGGTCATCTGACCACTGATGTACAACAGAACACAGCAATTACATTGGGTGAGAGCCACCAAAACATGTGTTTTGGGGTAATAAGACACTGCAGGACTGACCAGGGCTCTCCTCACTCTGGTAATGGCCAGAAGTGTGATGACCACACTGGACTGGGACATAGATGACAAGTGACAGTGCCAGGCCACAGGGGGATGGTGAGGGAGTGGAGGCTGGGCGGGGCGAGGGGGGGGGGCGGGGAATTGCGGTGATCACGAGGCCCTGGCTCTGGCTGAACGTGGTAGTGGAGGCATCATGGGTAAGGGTGGCAGAGGCAGTATGGGTGATGACAGGGGGAAATTTTCTTGCTCCAGCAAACTTTTATAGCTGCAGAAAGGCAGGTGGACTTAGGGGGTTCAGGACAGTGGCAGGAAAAGCAACTAAGGGTAACATAGGTAGAATGAGTGCTAGGACAGGGCTGGGAGAAAGTAAAAGCATGGTGAAGACAGGGAAGAATGCCAGATGGCAGTGGTTCACGCCTGTAATCCTAACTTCTCAGGAAGCAGAGATCAGGAGGATCTCAGTTCAAGGACAGCCAGGGCAAAGAGTTTGTGAGACCCTATCTCGAAAATATCTAAAACAAAAAATCAGGGCTAGCAGAGTGGCTTAAGTAATAGAGCACCAGCCTAGCAAGTGTGAGAACCTGAGTTCAAACCCCAGTACCCCATTTAAACAATAACAACAAAAAAAGACAGGAAGAAAAGGCTGCAGGACACGCAGTTGCAGCTCAGAGGAACCAAAGTCTGTGGCCTGGATAAAGAGGTCTCCAGTATGGGAAGCATGTTCACAGCCTTGCCCATCTGTGGAGTCCAGGGAAGGGGCTGAAGAGGGTGCCATGAGGCTGTCAGGGAGGCTCCAACAGGGCAGAGCAGTAGTTGACAGGATACTCCCCTGAGAAGGGAAGAAAGAAGCAGGGACTGCCAAGCACTGGTGGCTCACACCTATAATCCTAGCTACTCAGGAGGCAAAGATCAGGAGGATAGAAATTTGAAGCCAGCCTGGGGAAATAGTTTGTGACACCCTATCTTGAAAATACCTAACATGGAAAAAGGGCTGATGGAGTGGCTCAAGGTATAGGTCCTGAGTTTAATTCCAATACTGAAAAAAAAAAAAAAAAAAGCAGGGCCAACGCTGGGATCAGATAAGTCACTTTCACTGTTAGGTGCTACAGACCACAAAGCCCAACTGTGGAGGCCAAGACCAAGGGACAGAGGAACAAAGCGCTGTCTTCCATGCCCATCACGGCCAAGCTGGGGAAACAGGTCTATGTGTCCTGGGTGTCAACAGGACTCTTATTTCCATTAGGAATGGAATGGAAACACAGAGCTCAGAAAAGACATGCCCTCTACACAGCTGGACAGCAGCCCGGGAATATCTGGTTTCCAGAGTCCAGCAGGGGTCCCCTACCATCTTCTGTTACACAGCAGGGGCAGCCTAGACCACAGCTACCCAGGGCAGCTTCAGGTATCAATTTATAATCAGGCCAGCTCTTCCTAAATGGAAAAGCTATAGGAATCAACTGTGCAGACATCAGGCTCTACAAAAGAAATTCTTCCCTGACCAAGTAGAAGGAGATGGTGCCACATTACTAGTGGCTGACTGGATACAGGCACAAGTTTGAGAGCTCCCTCAGGAAGAGAAGGGGGCCTCACTCAGTTCTGTAGCCCTAGCATCTATAACCAACTTTTGTTGATTGCTAAGTAAAGGTAAAAGAAATATGCAGGGCTGATTATTATTATTTTTTAGTGATCCAGCTAATCCTGTCTCAGCTGGTCAGAACAGAGCTAGCTACACACAAGTCACTTGGAGCCTGAGGCAGAAACACGCTTTTCCTGACAGTCTCCCACCTTGTGGATTTAAGGATGCTTTCAAAGACATCCTTAAACTGCAGACAACTTCTCTGCACTCATTCACAGGTTCAGAACTAGACCTATCAGCACCTAGCGTGTTGCTGTGCCTGTATCATTTATTAGTAGCCTGGCTGTGACTGCCCTGCTTGCTGCCCCTGTGCTCCCCGACTTCCTCTACCTGAGCAGGTGGGTTGCTGGGATCTGGTGCAGATGCTGAGGCAGGTGCTGGCAGCACAGAGCCAAAAATGGAGCGGCTGGAAGAGAAGAGGTCTGAAAAAGAACATGGGCTCATTTAAGTTCTGTGAACTCACCATTTCATGTAATCAAGATCCAAACAGGGCTGGGCCGTGTGGATCAAGTGGTAGAAAACCTACCGAGCAAGTGCAAGGCCCTGAGTTCAAACCCCAGCAACATAAAAAAAAAAAAAAAAAAATCCAAACTATGGGGTTGAACCTCACGGATGCCATGGCCAGAAAGTACCCCCAGAGATAGCTTTCTGCAGAAAGAAGGTCCTGATTGGAACCACAACAGCTCTGAAACACTACCAGGCAGGCCACTACAGGGCTCTGACAATGGCATAACTTAAGAAGCTGCTCTAACTGCAGGAATCTTTGCTGGGTGACGGCTGTTTCATAGTGCCCTCTGCTGCACAGAACTAGCTGGGTGCCCATTGTTCAAGTCTGTAATTCTAGCTACTGGGGAGGCAGAGATAAGGGGGATAGCGGTTCATAACCAGTCCTGGGCAAATGGTTCGAGAGACTCTAACTTGAAAACAAGGCTGGTGGACTGACTCCAGTGATAGAGCACCTGCCTAGCAAACTTGAGGCCCTGAGTTCAAGCCCCAGTCTGCCAAAAAAGGAAAAATAAAAATAAAAAAAGGGAAAACTGCTCACAGTCATGGCCAACCCAAGACTCCAGAGGCAAAAAAGCCTTCTGAGGATGCCAATTTCCTTCCAGAGAGAAAAACGTCCCAGAAAAATTTCCCAAACTTTGCAGTTACTACAAAAAATTTCATTTTTTAAAAATTCTAAGTACTCCCTCATACCCATTCTAAACGTCTTCTCTCTGAAAGGAGAGTATCATTTTGCCCTGGGCAGGGCAAGGGAGATCCAGGAGCCATGTTCTCTCTGCCCCGTCCTCACCCTGGAAAGGTTCAAAGGTGTCCATGAAGTCCAGGTTGGGCTGTAATGGAATCAGCCCTGGCTGAACCATGTCTGCATTTCCCAGATGTCCTGAAAGAATCAGAAGGAAGAAAGGAATCATTTTCCCTTCTCAGATAAGGTTGCAGGAACCACCTGCCTCAGTGAATACTCACTGGACCCTGTGGCAGGGACCTGGGGACTGCCTCCATGTAGCGCGACCTGCTCATCCTTTACCAGGGAATCTTGTACTGTGCTTGGAGAGAAGAGCCGGGAGACAGGGGTGGGCTGACTGCTAGTGCTGTGGCTGAGGTCTGTCACCAGGATGCTGCTGTGGAACTCTGTGACTCCAGAAGCCTGTGTGTCATGGGAGAGAGAAGTCACCTAACCACTGATGTATAGCAGTTACATCAGATGAACGCCACCCAAGCACAGGCTGCTTTGGGGTGATAAGGACACTACGGGACTGCCCAGGGCCCTCCTCACCCTGGCAATGGCAGCAGGTGCGATGACCACACTGGATTGGGACACAGTAGATGCCAGCATTCTCTCTCTCTTCAGAGGGCCTGATGTCATGATCACTGTTTGTGGCTGGCCTGAAAAGGCAGCTGCCAGGATGGGGAGGAGGTGAGGGCTCAGGTCTGGGCCCGGGCCTGACCCTAAAGACCTGGCTGCTACTGATGCAGCCAGGCAAGCTGAAGACAGTCAGCCTCCCCAAAGCTGTACACACCTCTCTCGGCTTATGAGGCATCCTGCTCCTCACTAAGGAGATGGAGAAAAAACCACCTGGGAACCTAAATCTTTTTTGTGACTTCTTCTATTATAGACCCCAGAAAGAGATACCCAAACCACGTATTATAAAAATGTGTTTTGAAGACTAACTTTTTAGAAAGATACAGAATGGGGCTAGAGGCATAGTCAAGAGGTAGACTGCATGCCTAGAACATGTAAAGCCCTAAGTACAAACGCCAGTACTAGCAAAAAGAAAAAAAAGAAAGAAAGAAAATAGAAAATAGGACACATTGGTTATCTATTACACTTCTGCTTCATTTAAAGTATATATCGGGGCCGGGGGGGGGGGCGGGGAGGTTTACAAGTTTGAAGCTTTTGGGACAGGGAAATAGCCCTCCCTGGGCACCCCACACAGGCACACCTCCATTCAACTTACCTGGGGCAAGGCAAGCATTCTTCAACACCAAGGACACAGGCTCTGGTTTGGGAGCAGGCACTATTTTAGGGGGCTGCTTGGGACGCCCTCCAGTTAAGGACACAGGTTTGGGGTGCACAAAAGCTAAACGAGGATGGGGAGACCTAACAGTGGGTAGCCGGGGTACAGGTGACAGTGCCAGGCTACAGGGGGATGCTGAGGAGGTGGGCTGGTGGGCTGTGATCACAAGACCCTGGCTCTGGCTGAAGGTGGTGGCAGAGGCGTCATGAGTAAGGGTGGCAGAAGCCGTGTGGGTGATGACAGGGGGCGATTTGCTCACTCCAGAGAACTTCTGTGGTTGCAGGAAGGCAGGTGGACTTGAGGGGTTTGGGGCAGTGGCAGGAGGAGAAACTAAGGGTAATGCAGATGGAATTGGTGCTGGGGCAGGGCTGGGAGAGAGTAAGGGCATGGTGATGACAGGGAGGAAGGGCTGTGGGACGCTCAGTGATGACTCAGAGGGACCAAAGTCGGTAGGTTGAATAAAGGGGTCTCCAGTATGGGAAGCACGTTCACAGCCCTGCCCATCTGTGGGGTCCAGGGAAGGGGCTGAAGAGGGTGCCATGAGGCTGTCAGGGAGGCTCACAGTGGGCAGAGCAGTAGTTGACAGGATACTCCCCTGGGAAAGGAAGAAAGAAGCAGGGCCAACGCTGGGATCAGATAAGTCACTTTCACTGTTAGGTGCTACAGACCACAAAGCCCAACTGTGGAGGCCAAGACCAAGGGACAGAGGAACAAAGCGCTGTCTTCCATGCCCATCACGGCCAAGCTGGGGAAACAGGTCTATGTGTCCTGGGTGTCAACAGGACTCTTATTTCCATTAGGAATGGAATGGAAACACAGAGCTCAGAAAAGACATGCCCTCTACACAGCTGGACAGCAGCCCGGGAATATCTGGTTTCCAGAGTCCAGCAGGGGTCCCCTACCATCTTCTGTTACACAGCAGGGGCAGCCTAGACCACAGCTACCCAAGGCAGCTTCAGGTATCAATTTATAATCAGGCCAGCTCTTCCTAAATGGAAAAGCTATAGGAATCAACTGTGCAGACATCAGGCTCTACAAAAGAAATTCTTCCCTGACCAAGTAGAAGGAGATGGTGCCACATTACTAGTGGCTGACTGGATACAGGCACAAGTTTGAGAGCTCCCTCAGGAAGAGAAGGGGGCCTCACTCAGTTCTGTAGCCCTAGCATCTATAACCAACTTTTGTTGATTGCTAAGTAAAGGTAAAAGAAATATGCAGGGCTGATTATTATTATTTTTTAGTGATCCAGCTAATCCTGTCTCAGCTGGTCAGAACAGAGCTAGCTACACACAAGTCACTTGGAGCCTGAGGCAGAAACACGCTTTTCCTGACAGTCTCCCACCTTGTGGATTTAAGGATGCTTTCAAAGACATCCTTAAACTGCAGACAACTTCTCTGCACTCATTCACAGGTTCAGAACTAGACCTATCAGCACCTAGCGTGTTGCTGTGCCTGTATCATTTATTAGTAGCCTGGCTGTGACTGCCCTGCTTGCTGCCCCTGTGCTCCCCGACTTCCTCTACCTGAGCAGGTGGGTTGCTGGGATCTGGTGCAGATGCTGAGGCAGGTGCTGGCAGCACAGAGCCAAAAATGGAGCGGCTGGAAGAGAAGAGGTCTGAAAAAGAACATGGGCTCATTTAAGTTCTGTGAACTCACCATTTCATGTAATCAAGATCCAAACAGGGCTGGGCCGTGTGGATCAAGTGGTAGAAAACCTACCGAGCAAGTGCAAGGCCCTGAGTTCAAACCCCAGCAACATAAAAAAAAAAAAAAAAAAATCCAAACTATGGGGTTGAACCCACGGATGCCATGGCCAGAAAGTACCCCCAGAGATAGCTTTCTGCAGAAAGAAGGTCCTGATTGGAACCACAACAGCTCTGAAACACTACCAGGCAGGCCACTACAGGGCTCTGACAATGGCATAACTTAAGAAGCTGCTCTAACTGCAGGAATCTTTGCTGGGTGAGGCTGTATCATAGTGCCCTCTGCTGCACAGAGGGAGAACTGCTCATAGTCATGGTCAACTCAAGACTCCCCCAGGCAAAAAAACCCTGAGAATACCAATTTCCTTTCAGAGAGAACAAAGTCCCAGAAAAATTTCCCAAACCTTGCAGTTACTACAGAACAAAAAGTTTACTTTTGAAAAATTGTAAGTACTCCCCATACCCATCCTAAATATCTTCTCTCTAAAAGGAGAGCATCAATTTGCCCTGTACCAAGCAAGAGAGATACTACAGAAGCCATGCTCATTCCCCCACCCCATACCATCCCACCCATATCCCTGTCCTCACCCTGAAAAGGTTCAAAGGTGTCCATGAAGTCCAGGTTGGGCTGTAATGGAATCAGCCCTGGCTGGATCATGTCTGCATTTCCCAGATGTGCTACAAGAATCAGAAGGGAGAAAGAGGAATCATTTTCCCTTCTCAGACAAGTTTGCAGGAACATATAAAAGTCCTGGAACAGACCTTCCTGGTCCTACTCACATTCTAGGTTTATCAAAGAAGTATAGACAGCTGTTTGTGATTTCTACTGTTGTGGAGTTCATGACCATTCTCTACCCTCAGAAGGCAGGAATGAAAGTTTTCACAAATTGAATAGCAGGAATGGACACCTCAGGAAACTGAATAGCTTAGCAGAGACTCCAACTCTCCACTCCCTCTCCCCTCTCTCCTTTTTCTCCTGTGGGCTCTTCCCTAAAGGGTTAATTGAAAACTAAAAGCCTCCAGACTGTTTCGGGTTCTCTTCAGAGTGACTTGGCCCTGTGACCTATGCCTAGACACTGGCACATGTCTCACACTAAGGGACTGTATCAGAAATCCGAAACTCGTTCAGATTAGACCCCTGCTGCTGGTTTCTCATTGTGGTACCAAGGGCACCACAGATGCCCCAGTAGAGTTCGATCTGTAATCCCTACCCACTTTGTGCAAGTGGCCCTCAGGTATTGAGGCGAGTCAACCCTCTCCTCTCTGACTAGCTTAGAAAAGTGACATGCTACTGCTTAGAGATGGTCCTGAAGTAAAGCCTGGACCAAAGGGAACCTGACAGAGAAGGAAGTCAGCTATCCAAGGACAGAGATTGGAGTTACCTATCTCCCGTGGGTTGGGCCAGGCCACTGGCTGATGTGAAGAAAGAGTGGAAAAGAGGGTGTCGCTGAATTCTGACATGAGCATGTCTGTGTCCAGAAGTGGCTCCTCCTCCATGGGGACTGGGGTCTTCCAACCATCACCATGTTTGTGCCAGTAAAGCATGTCATCATCCTACCATCAACAGAGGGGAAAAATAATTAAGGTTCAGCAATGAAATTTAGAATCCTCAGTCCTGGAGTGTAAGCAAATATGTTATAGGGCTGTTTTATGAAAATGAGGTGAGAGGGTACAGACATTCAGAGAACACTGCCTTCCAGCTCTCCAGCAAAGCATCTGCCTTCTTCCTTAGCCACTAGGCAGGACTCCCACATGAGAAGGGAGCTGGTCCTGTCTCTGGCCTCAGAAAGTCTGTTTCCCACCACCCTCAGCTGCAGGTTCCCTGGAGGACATCCAAATCACTGTTGTTTCTTGAGATAGCAGGGCTCACAAGCTACTCACCTGAGCCAGACTAGAGAGGTCCTCATCCTTGTGCTGCTGTAACTGTGGGCAAAGAAAGCGGGACTAAGTGGTCACCAAGCACTCTGGGAGGGCTGAGGCCATAGCCTCACCTCCTTGCTTATGAGTGAACTCTCTGGAAATATCCAGGCCTTTTCTGGGAAGCAGGTAGGAAAAGGGAAGAAAAAACCTTGTTCGTGGCTGGGGAAACTGGAAGCCACCACTTAGGGCTAGGAAGCTGGGTCCCAGCTTTCCCCGTTGATGTTCCATGCCTAGTGGGACAGTTGTGGCACCTCAGGCCAGTATTCTGAATATATCCTCTGTTCTTTCCCTCCCTCCAAGGGCTTCCAGACAATACCCTTTTCTTGAAGTAGGTTCTCCACTTGTGATACTCCCGGATCACGATTTCAATGCGGCTTTTCCAGTACTTCCCCTCTGTGGTGATGGCCTACAACCAAGAAGCCAGAATGAAAGCAGTGTCTTTCATTTAAGGGTTAACCCAACCCTTAAACACTGAAGTATCCAACACTTGAAGTGGCCTCAGGTGATCACCTGCTCAGAAAACCTCATCGCTCACTTACATAGCTAGAACTCCACTCACAAAGCACATCCCATCTCTTTTGGGATACAACTGTCCCTCTGGCATTTTCATTTTCACACCTAGGATGTCCAAGGTGGGCTCTGAAGCCCAGACACTGTGCTGGGACACAGGGTCAGAGAATGCTCAGGCAGGGGAGGAAGCAGATAGCCACTCCCTCCTTTCATGTGGAAAGCTAAAGAAACTCTCGGACAGGCCACAAATGCCATTTTTCAGTAATCTCTGCCATGCTCTCAAAAAGTGAAAATGAACAGGCAGTCACAGAAGTTTTAGGTAGAGCATGCTGCTCCCCAAGAGCATCTAATCTACCCTTCCTCTTATGCCAAGACTCTGCCTGACAGACCACCCTGCTTTCAAACCTTAAGTCTCATGGCACCTGCAAACACTTCACATACCTGAAATAGTAAAAAATCATGTTTTTAAAAACAGGATTATAGATGGGCATAGTGAGTGGTGCATGCCTCTAATCTCAGCACTCAGGAGTCTAAGGCAGGATGATAGCTAGTTCAAAGACAGCATGTGCTATATAGCAAGACCCTGTCTCCAAAACAAACAATGCCCAAAAACACAAAACCAAAAAAATGGCATATATTCAAAAAACAGGATTACAATATTACCACCACATCGAACAAAATATTCCTCAATATTGTCCAATACCAGATTACACCTAAGAGTTTCAAAACTATTTCATTAGTTACTTTTAATTTTTCCCCTTTTATGATAATAGTAAGACATGATTAGACAAAATTAAAATAATGCCGAAGAGTATAAAGTGAAGAGTCTGCACTCCTTGTATGACACTCTACTCTATTCCTACTCCCTAGAGGGAATCTGTACTAAGAAATTTCTGTATATCCTTCTAGACATCTCCTGTGCATGAAAAATTATAGGTGCACTTTTTCAAAATTGACATAAATACATTAAACCAGTTGTTTAAAAACTTACTCTTTGGGGTCTGGGGTAGGGCTCAGTAGTAGAGCATGCACCTAGTACGTAAGAGGCCCTGAATGCCACCCCCAGCACCACAAAATAAATAAACATAAGTAAATAAAAAAAATAATTAAAAGGTACTCTTTCTTCAATCTCTTTCCATCTGAAATCTAAAGACCCTGAGGTCTCTTCAATTGTTAAAGACAGCTGTTTTACAGGAGCCAGCCTTCCTCCCTGATGAAGCAGCTATTTTAAGTGGAAGCACAGGGTGAGTCCCGCAGGGTCAGCCTCTGTGAGAAGGAGAGAACCTCTGCATACTGGGGACTGGCAGCCACTTCCCCTCCTCAAAGTCATGCCAACTGGAGGCACAGTGCAGGCCCCCTTCCTCCCAAAACCTCCCCTGCAGAACCCAGCCCTCAGTGAGTCATCCCTTGGGAAATGAGGCTGGTTTTCGTTTCCCAGCCTGCCTTGATCTCTTCCCAAGTACCTCTGGCCGGCGGTGCTCATCTACATCGACAGAGCCATCTAGTGGGGTGACAAAGTGGCACACGGGATTCTTGCGCTTCTCCAAATCTGGGCAGAGAGAAGTGAGACATCATCACTGATGCCAAAACCCCTGCAGAAGCCCTGAAGCCCCACCCTGCCCCCTCATGGTGAGACCTTGGGGAGTGTTCTCCCCTTCTCCTTCCTCTGGAAACCTGGAGGCTTCAGAGAAACAGTGGAGCCCAGGTGAAAGGCAAAGACACTGCCAATAATGTGTCAGCTCATCAAGAGGAAGGTGGCTTGCTGCCACCAGGCCCCAGCTCCCGAACCAGCTGGGGACAGCAGGACACGCATGGCTGCACCTGCACTTTCTGGACTTGATCACAATGAGAATGTGATTCTTCAAATGTCACCTCTTGGCTACATTTTCACAACTCCCTGAAAAGGAACCCCTTACTCCTCCATGAGGCCCAGCCCGCTACTGAGCACACTACACTGTAGAAATGGCCTCACAAGTCTGTCCCTCCAAACTCTGGGCTCTCAGTTATGTCTGATGACTAGTGAGTGTCCAGGTCCCTGGCATTTGGCTTGGTTTCCCCAACGCCACAGACTGCTTGAGAGACACTTACTGGAAACACAGTGCTCTCTAGGTGCTAAGGACTCCAGGGCATAGAGCTCTGACCCCACAGAACCAGGGGCCCCTGCAGCCCCACACTCCTAGGCTGGTGATGCACTTACACTGCATGTACCACGCCCGCCAGATGGCGTTATTGAGCCGGATCTTGTCTCTCCACTGAAGCTTCAGGCCTTTGAAATTCTTCCACTTTGGAGACACCAACTTCCCACTGAAAGACAACACAAAGTAGGGAGATTCAGTGGTTCCTTGGAAAACGAAATTTTAAAACTTAGGCCTGATTATTCCAGGTCCCAGAACCCTTGACTGGTCCACTATCAGTCACAGGCTAGGCTTGACAGAAATTTCATGTGGGGAAAGATATCACTCTTTGGAGCACATGGTATTATGGTGGCAGTGACAGTGTCAGGACATAAATGATATAACTATTATAGCAGGTGATGTCACGTGGGGTTCACTATTCTGTCTGGTCTACTTCTGACTATCCTTAAACTTTCCATTATTAAACATTAAAAAGGCATCTGTTGCTGGGTATGGTGGTGCATACTATAATCCCAGCAATTGGGAGGCAAAGGCAGAAGGATCATGAGTTTGAGGCCAGCTTAGGCTACATAGTAAGGCCCTGTATATAAAAAAATAAAGATATCTGTTGAACAGCAGATAAAACCAGGCTTCTCTCAAGTCTTGGCCCAGTTTCTTCATCCTCGGTACCACTTGCCATTCTCCTTCTGCCAGCAGCTCAGAGATGGCTCCTGCCTCAGAACTTGGAAAACTGAGTTGCCCAAGACAAGCAGGCTGTGCCTTCAGGGAGCTTAGACTGCCTATTTGCTTATCTGCAAGTGCTCTTAACTTTCCCAAAGAATTATATGAGCTGGGTGCCAGTGGCTTACACCTATAATCCTAGCTACTTGGGAAGTAGAGATCAGTTTGTGAGATCCCATCTCCAAAATAACAAGAACAAAATGGAGCAGAGGTGTGGCTCAAGTGGTAAAGTGCCTGCCTTGCAAGCTTTCATGAAACCCTGAGTTTAGACCCCAGCCTCACACATACACACACACACACACACATTATATGTGGCACTGACAGTACAGGCAAATGTCCCAGTGGCCTGCTGAGCCCAACATGTATGCAGTCCTCACTCTTGATGAACTTTCTCCACTCGGCCCTACTCCCTTCCAGACATTGCTCCAACACCATCTAGTTCATGTTGGAGCTGGCCTCTCCTAGAGGGCTACCCATTCTTCCAGGGTCCCCTCACTCTAGTCAACCTCTGCGACAGCACTCACCAACGCTACCCAGCACTGTCTGTACATATATGTGTGTACACACATAAACCCATGTAACCGCAGTTCTTTAGGCAAGGCCCTTTAGGTCTCTGGTCACCCAGGAGGGGCTCACTTTATTCTTCCTGGAATAAGTTAAGGGCACTTGCAGACCAGGCTAATAGCAGGCAGGGAAAGATTCCTGGTGGCACAGCCCTCTTGTGCTGTGCTAGCAGCCACCTCTGAGCAGTGGGTAGAGAGGGGCCCCTTTTCCACATGGCTGGAGATAGACAAGTTACTATTTTTGATCCACATCAAAGAAGGTTTGGAGGGACCCACAGGATTGTAGGCCACAGTCCTGCCTTTTTTCCTAACCCACTCAGAAAGGCCATGTAAAAAGGGCAGAGATGTGCCCACAGTCACAGCAGTCAGTCTCCAAAGGAGGTGTCTAAGTAACAGATACTAGTGAACCTGAAAACTTGGGTTTATAAAAAGCAAAAGCTCCTGGATAAAACCTCCCACTCTCCTCACCCAAGCCAGCAGAGCCCAGGCTTTGGATTACATTAGACAGAAAGCTCTGACCACTACTCCCCTCCTTGAGAGGAAATGTTACGGCACTTTTTAGCAAGTTAGGGACATACAGACAGCGGCAGCCTCTAAGAGTCAGGAGCCTCAGAAGAGCCACACTTCTTGCTTCCTTTGCTCCCCACTCCAGAGGCAAGTATGATCCCTCTCCCCGATTTGACAGATCAGCTTCACCAGTGCTCACAAGACAGAAGCTGTCACCACTATTGCTCCCCACCAGCTGTGCAAAATCAAAATAAATTCAACTTCTCCAGAGTGTCTTAGTAAGGATGGAATGAGTGTGTATACATATGTACACATATTCACACAAATGCATATACCATACCCATGGTAAACCCTAAAGCAAAATTTAAAAAGATTAGCCAGGCACTGTTGTTGGAAGGCTGAGATGGGGAGAATCAAAGTTTGAGATCAGCATGGTCAAATAGTTTGAGAGATCTCATCTACAAAATAACCAGAGCAAAATGGTCTCAGGAAGTTTGAACTGGAGTTCAAACTCCTACCAAAACAAAAACCCCCACAAAATAAAACAAAGAACTGTCCTATTTTCTTACTTTTTTTTTTTTTTTTGTGGTACTGGGGTTTGAACTCAGGGCCTACACCTTGAGCCACTCCACCAGCCCTTTTTTGTGAAGGGTTTTTTTTTGGAGATAGGGTCTTGTGGAACTATTTGCCTGGGCTGGCTTCAAACCGAGATCCTCCTGATCTCTGCTTCCTGAGTAGCTAGGATTCCAGGCATGAGCCACTGGCACCCGGCCTGTCTCTTAATTTTCTTAAAGAAGAAAGAAAACAAAACCAAAAACCCTTTTCCTGTAATTGATACTCCTTCATCATACTGAAGTCCAGGATTCCAAGGCCACACTCTGCTCTACAGGGCCAGAATCTAACCAAGCATTGTCACTTGAGAGATGACTGCAGAGGCCTCCCGCAGGACAAAGCTGAGATGGTCTAGGATTCCCGGGAAGAAACAGCTGCTGGAGGCCTCTGTGGTCTGTGCAGGACTAATCAGTACGCTGACACAGCACCAATCTTACCTCTGCTGTGTACTTAGGAAGAAGCTGCCAATGTGTCACAAGAACTTTTTCTCACAGTCCAACTATACAGCACCTTCAACTGGGCGTAATGACAGGTGTGCGAAGACAGGGAAATTCAGCCACCTATTGAGCTAGAAACCAACTGGACAGGGTCTAGTTGGGTGTTCCCTGCCTGCTGAAATGTTTCCCTTTCCTTTAACACTTACGTCAAAAACATCAGCAGGAACATACAGAATTTAAGAACTTCCACCATTACCCCAGGTTTCTTTAATATTCTCACAGCCAGCAGATGGTGTTCCAGAGACACAAAGGAAGAAGTGAATCCAAAAGCAAAGTTTTTTGTTTTGTTTTGTGTGGCACTAGAGTTTGAACACTGTCAGAGCTTCACACCTGCTAGGCAGTTGCTCTATCACTTGAGCCACTCCACCAGCCTTCTTTTATGTTGTGTATTTTAGAGATAGGGTGTCTCGAACTATTTGCCTGGGCTGACCTCAACTAAATCCTCCTGATCTCTGCCTCCCGAGTAGCTAGGATTACAGGCGTAAGTGAGTCACCAGCATCTGGCAAGCTTTTTTTGGGGTGGTGGTGGTGGTGGTGAGTGACTGATAGAACACCCACCATAACAAGTCCAACACAAGTAACAAGAAGCAACACAAGTAGTTGTATAATGTCAAGGGTTACAAAGAGGGAAGGAGGCTGGAGTATAGCCTGTTGGTGAAGCATTTACCTACCATGTTCAGGGCCCTGGGTTCCATCCCCAGCACTGGAAGAGAGGAGAGGACAGAAGAGGAGAGGAAGGAAGGGAAGGGAAGAAGGGACAGGGGTGAGGAGAGAAGGATACAAACTCTTAAAGAGGGAAGAGGAGACATCTATCTCCTCGTAGACATTCACAGGGATCCTTTTCACATGAGTATCCCGTATCTAGTTTCCAAGGAAACTAGGAGAAGCTGCTCTAAAAGGTTCCAACTGCAGCAGAGGGAGGTCAGTGACTCCCTGGAAGAGTCCCCAAGACAGTGTCCCCAGAAAGCCTCTCTGTTCAGATGTCTGCTCTCCACCTGCCCCAGCAGGACTCATCTTTTTTTTTTTTTTTGGTAAATATTAATTTTTTTATTATGGTTTCTCTCTTGTTAAACTTAATAAATAGTTATGTGAGCTGTAAAGTACTAAATAAATAAATAATCTAGTGTCAACTAAAGGTATTTATTAGAGACAATGCTTATAAATTTAAAAACTATATTTCATTGGTTGAAATGAGCAAAGAAACACTACTGTCTGACTTGGTCTCCACCCGCCTTCCCTGGCTACCATTTTTTTTTAATTTTTATTTTTTTATTATTCATATGTGCATACTTGGGTCATTTCTCCCCCCTGCCCCCACCCACTCCCTTACCACCCACTCCGCCCCCTCCCTCTCACCCCCACCCCCTCGATATCCGGCAGAAACTATTTTGACCTTATCTCTAATTTTGTTGTAGAGAGAGTATAAGCAATAATAGGAAGGAACAGGGGTTTTTGCTAGTTGAGATAAGGATAGCTATACAGGGAATTGACTCACATTAATTTCCTGTGCATGTGTGTTACCTTCTAGATTAATTCTTTTTGATCTAACCTTTTCTCTAGTTCCTGGTCCCCTTCTCCTATTGGCCTCAGTTGCTTTTAAGGTATTTGCTTTAGTTTCTCTGCGTTGAGGGCAACAAATGCTAGCTAATTTTTTAGGTGTCTTACCTATCCTCATATCTCCCTTGTGTACACTCGCTTTTATCTTGTGATCAAAGTTCAGTCCCCTTGTTGTGTTTGCCCTTGATCTAATGTCTGCATATGAGGGAGAACATATGATTTTTGGTCTTTTGACCAGGCTAACCTCACTCAGAATGATGTTCTCCAATTCCATCCATTTACCAGCAAATGATAACATTTCGTTCTTCCTCATGGCTGCATAAAATTCCATTGTGTATAGATACCACATTTTCTTGATCCATTCATCAGTGGTGGGGCATCTTGACTGTTTCCATAACTTGGCTATTGTGAATAGTGCCGCAATAAACATGGGTGTGCAGGTGCCTCTGGAGTAACCTGTGTCACAGTCTTTTGGGTATATCCCCAAGAGTGGTATTAGTGGATCAAATGGTAGATCCATGTCTAGCTTTTTAAGTAGCCTCCAATTTTTTTCCAGAGTGGTTGTACTAGTTTACATTCTCACCAACAGTGTAAGAGAGTTCCTTTTTCCCCACATCCTCGCCAACACCTGTTGGTGGTGGTGTTGCTAATGATGGCTGTTCTAACAGGGGTGAGGTGGAATCTTAGCGTGGTTTTAATTTGCATTTCCTTTT